TTGTATTTAAAATAAAAAATAATATATGTATGTACAACACTGGACAGCTTTTTTTTGGAGTAAAATAAGACAATAGGTCTTCAGTTATCATTACCCAAATAAATCCATCATAAAGATATTGTGAATTATTAATTTGCAAACCATACACAAATTTTGAWTAAAACTTCACTTSTTCACTTATAACATTAGTTCACAGCGTTAATAGTTTTTAGCATTTATAATGTTTTATAATGTTATATAATAGGATCAAATGTTTAGGAAAGCTATACTATAATATTCGTAGTATAATTACTTAATACCCACTTATTAGAGTCAAAACTTAACTAATCCGTCACATCAAGTGTCTTTGATTTATTGTCAAATAAAATGTTTATAAATGGTAAACAATTTTTTAATCTTTTAAATAGGATTCAGGACTGAAACATATTAATAATWAAAATWAAAATATTATATTTGTTTATTTTTACAAATCAATAAAATATAAATGTATTTATGTGTTTTAATTAAATTATATTATGTTTAATAACAATATAACAGCCATGAGCTTTATTTCAATTTTAACTAATTTTTAYGAATAACTAGCTTTCGAAAARATMAGTTTTATTTTTTGTAGTAACTCAAAAAACGAAAAACTGTAGATTTATTAAATTTAAAAAAAATATTTATAWAATAATATCTTCAAAATATTTTGATWATATWTRAAGTATTTTTATACACCATCATTTATTTTTTAAATATTATATTCACTTGACATAAYYATAAAGAATATTTGCAAATTATATTGAATTAGAAAATCATAAAAAATTGTTTATGTACATGTTTTTAAAATTCAATTCAAGTTCTTCGTAAGTTTAACATTTGTCAAAAAAAAAGTTTACCGGAAGGTCACATTAATTTTTTATGAGTTTTTGATTTTCTTACGACATTGGATATTCACCTGTAAATTAACGATTTCTCATACAAACGATTTTCTTATTTTGTTGTAATGAAAAAGTGAATAACCGTGTATACTTAAATTTTCTCAAATGTTTATTTTCTCAATTTTTATACACGATAGCGTTTTAAAAATATTTCAACTATTTTGAAGTAATTTATAGTTTTCTAATTTTTTTGTAAATATAATGTATATTATTTCTCAGTAAAAAATCTTAGACTTTAAAATACAAGATTATTTTTAAGTTTTTATAATAGCAGTTCAGAAATATTGAGAAAATAAAGTTACAA